TCTCTCGCTGTCTCTTTCTCTGTCAAATAAATAAATAAGATCTTTGAAAAAAAAAAAAGGGTTCCTCCAGAAGCCCTCAAAATGTCCCAGCTCAATCCCAGCCATCTCCTGACCCTAGCTGTAGTCAATATTTTGACTTTTATGGTAATACCAATTTATAAAATATAAAAAAACCTTTCATTATATGTTAATAACCCAATTCTGTATCTCCAAATACTATGGTTTAGTTTTGCCTGTCTTTTAAAAATATCTTTTAAAACTTTTTTACATTATGGAGTTTTCCTTTAATCTCTTCCTTGCATTTATTTATCGAAAATACTGGATCATATTTCCTGTAGAGTTTCCCACAGACTGAATTTTACTGATTACATTCCCTTGGTATTTTTAACATGTTTCTCTGTTCTTTGTATTTTCTATAAATTTTATATGGATCCAACCACTTAATCTTTTGACTTCTTAATTTCAGTTATTACATGCATACCTCATTTTATTGTGCTTCATTTTACTGAGCTTTGCAGATGTTGCATTTTAATAAATTGAAGGTTTGTGGCAACCCTGTGTTGACAAAGTATATTGGCACCATTTTTCCAACAGCATTTGTTCATTTTATGTTTCTGTGTCACATTTTCATAATTCTTACAGTATTACAAACTTCTCATAATTTTTTTTATTATTTTTTTTAAAACTTTTTATTTATTTATTCATGAGAGACAGAGAGAGAGAGAGAGAGAGGCAGAGGGAGAAGCAGGCTCCCAAGGAGCAGGGAGCCCGATGCGGGACTCGATCCCAGGACCCTGGGATCATGACCTGAGCCGAAGGCAGATGCTTAACCATCTGAGCCACCCAGGCGCCCAACTTTTCATAATTATTAAACTTGTTATCTATGATCAGTGATTATGACTTTCTGAAAGCTCGGATGATGGTTAGCATTTTTTATCAATAAAGTATATTTTAATTAAGGTAGTATATATTGTTTTAGGCATAACGCTATCGCATGCTTAATATTCTACAGTATAGTGTAAATATAACTTTTATATGCATTGGGAAACCAAAAACTTCATTTGACTCACTTTATTGTGATATTTGTTTCATTACAGTGGTCTAGAACTGAACTTATGATATCTCCAAGTTATTTCTGTATATTTTTCATTTTTGTACAATTTCCACTTACTTCTTTTTTAAAAAAAGGGTTTTATTTATTTATTTGAGAGAGAGAGAGAGCATGAGCAGGGGGAAGGGGCAGAGGGAGAGGGAGAAGCAGACTCCCCACTGAGCAGGGAGCCTGACATGGGGCTTGATCCCAGGACCCTGAGATCATGACCTGTGCTGAAGGCAGACACTTAACTGACTGAGGCACCCAGGTGCCCCTCCATTTGATTCTTTCTTTAAAAGTATTTCCAATCTGCTGAAATTCTTCATCTTGTTATCTATTTTCCTGAACATATTTCTCACAATTATTTTAGAGTAGCCAACATTCCAATAATTTGATCTTTTGTGGGTGGCTGGGTGGCTCAGATGGTTAAGTGTCTGCCTTTGGCTCAAGTCATGATCCCAGGGTCCTGGGATCGAGGCCCGCATCGGGCTCCCTGCTCCTCGGGATCCTGCTTCTCCCTCGGCTTCTCTCTCTCTCTCTCTCTCTCTGTCTGTCATGAATAAATAAATAAAAAAAAAATCTTAAAAAAAAAGTTTAAAAAAAATTTGATCTTTTATGTGTTTCTTTTGTTTTTTTTTATTTTTCTCTTTATTTTTAGTCATTTGGTCTTGTCTCATAGTATGCTTCATAATTTTTAATTGACTGATGAGCATTATGTATAAAAAATTGTAGAAATATTTTGAGTCTCTGAATGGTGTTCTCTTTCTTTCAGAGATGATTTACTTTTGGCCATGGCAGGTGGTTTGACATAAAAGAGGTGATTTTTATCCAACCTAGGAAATCGTTGATTAGGACCAGCATTTATTTTCATGAAAGCTGGTCTATTACTTGTTTACCTTTATTCCAGTGGTATAGCCTGTAAGAATCCCAACTAAAAGTTTAGAATATTTGGGCCTCTCCTCCTAGCAGACCCTATGTTCCTATTTTTGGCCTTCCCAGATTCAAGATTGTTGAAAAGTTCACTCACTTTCTCTGCTTATTACTTGTTGCCAATAAATCAGCAAATGCCTTAGCAGGGAAAAGTGGTACCAAATGTTGTGTTTACATCTCTAAATTTACCTCATGCCTAGCTTGGCCTTTAAGTCCTTATTTCCTTGATAGCTTTTCAAACACTTTATAATAACTTGCTTTTCTAGTTATTTTTGTGAAGTTGTTCTAATATAAACTAGTAGCTGGAAATGGATTTCCATTTCTTACCTATGTAAGTTTTTATATTCTCCTTTATTTAGCAAGCATTCAAGGCAAAGATATGGTTATACTGTTTAATTTTTTGTTAAGTAGGCTTTTAGAGCATTGTATGCAACAGACAAGGCCTCAAATTTTGTGGAGCCAGGTACGTATACTTTAAGGGCAAAAAGACTCTTAAAGCTCCCTGTTTGGGATTGCCTATGTATCATCATATTTTCTTTCATCTGTTATTTAACAATGATGAAGAATCTAAGAATATTGCAGCATTATTTACAGTAGCCAAGATATAGAAGCAGCCCAAGTGTCCCTCAGTAGGTGAATGGATAAAGAAGATGTGGTATATATTCCATTGGAATATACACAATATAATACTATGCAGCCATAAAAAAAGGATGAGATTTTTTGACAACATGGGTGGACCTAAAGTGAATTTCACTTATGCTAAGTGAAATCAGTCAGAGAAAAATACCATATGATTTCACTTATATGTGGAATCTAAAAAAACAAAACAAATGAATGAACAAACAAACAAAAAGCAGAATCAGACTTACGAATACAGAGAACAAACTGATGGTTGCCAGTGGGGAGGGGAATTGGGAGCATGGGCAAAATGGGTGAAGGAGAGCAGGAGATACAGGCTTCTAGTTATAGAAGGAATGTCATGTGAATAAAAGTACAGCATAGGGAATATAGTCAACAGTATTATTATAGAGCTGTATGGTGACAGATGGTAGCTACACTTGTGAGCACTGCCTAATGTATAGAGAGGCTGAAGCACTATGTTGTACACCTGGAACTCATGTAACATTTTGTGTCAACCATACTCAAAATTTCTTTAAAAATTGATCAGTGCTTATTTACTGTCTCATAAAATCAGTGCAATGGCTAAAATATTGGCATATCTGTATGAAATGACATTTGTACCCATTGAAATAATAATGAAATGTACATTGACTTATACCAAACTATGTTCATAAAAGAATCTAAGAATAGACTGTAATATTAACGTTAAGCTCTGAAGTTTTTAATTATATAGTGATGTGTATATAAAAAGAAATAAAATTTTCTCAAGTAAAGGAAAAGTATTAACAGGTTAACTTTTCTTTTTCTCTCTCTCACTGAAATAGCACTCACTGGGTATTTATTCAAACAATAGCATCTCTTGATAGCCAACCCAAATATACGAGTGTATCGTAAAACTGGAAGCAAGCTTCTTGGCAGGCATGGGGTAGGAAAGCCACAAGATACACAAGAAGTCACATAGCATCTCTAAAGCTCTAATCTCAAAAACAAGCCTCAAGTATTCCATTATTTCCATTTTTCCTTAGTGTTTAACTTTTTATAATTTTCTACATGGTCATTTTGGAAAAAAGTTATTAGAATGGCCCTCCAATCCCCTTTCCCAGACATTCCTCAATCCCTCCTTAAATTCTGTGGTATACCTCATTTATTCAATAGATATAGTACTAATACTGTTAGCATTACTAATTAGTAATAGTATTAGGTGAAATCCTAGTAGATCTATTTCTAATGATAGACATAATATTAATACTCCCACTATAGTATTGTGTGAAAACTAACATTCCAATAGTACAATAATTTTAAAAGTACTAAAGAAGATCACTATTTAAATCCAGGCTTTGTGGTATTCTTTTGTAAATCAAAGACTTATTCCTTAATTTATTAATTTTCAAGTGAATAGTCATTAAGCAGCCTATAAATTAGGAATACATTTCTGTGGTGCCAAACAGCATACTGGAGATTATTTATTTATTTATTTATTTGAGAGAATGTGTGTGTGAGTGGGGGGGGTTGGGGGGTAGGGAGGGGCAGAGGGAGAGAGAGAGAGAATCTTAAGCAGGCTCCATGCTCAGCACGAGCCTGACACGGGGCTGGATCTCATTACCCTGAGATCATGTCCTGAGCCGAACTCAAGAGTTGGATATTCAACTGCCTCAGTCACCCAGGCGCCCCATACTAAAAATACTTTACTCTAAAATGAAAATTAAATGATCAAAGAATGGATTATGAGACCATTAAAAATTATCTAAAATATCCATGGAAATTATTAAAATTGGATAACAGGGAGAAATAGATATCTATTGTATTATCATGCAGATATTATTTGGCAATATTTTTAGTAGCATACATTTTGGTTTATACATATACTGGAGTCTTGGGCCACAAATCCTTAAATTACCTTTAATCTGGTTTAAAAAATGTAAGTTGGAGCCTGGAGTTACACAGTAATTCTCATAGTCATATATGTAAATTATTTCTGAAATTCTTGAATAGCACTGTCATTTGAATCAACACATAAAAACTAATATCAACTTTTGAATGAGAAATTATTACTAATTAAAAAAACTTTTTAATCAATTGTTTTTAAAAACATTTAATAATGTAGCAGATAATCTTGATGTTGTGATAGTTCCTGAATCATTTCCTTCATTTTTGTACTAAAAAAAACAAGGCTTGCCATATTAGTAATATTGCAAAAATCAGTCCTTGCCTAGGCTTAGGAGTTATCCTATATGGCTATCTTGAGTCTATTCTTAAAAGAAAATTTCTTTTTCTACCAGAGAATTCAGTTCTCCATACCACGATATAAAATCCTTGGTATTACATGCCAACAATGTCACCAGGATAATTGGATTACCTGTTAAAGCTCCTGTAATCAGGCAGTTCTACTTTTCCTTCAGGCTTGAAAAATTTAGGGTATAAAGCCTCTAAAAGCTCCGGATCATCGCTAATGGCCTGTTCCCAGGGCGACTGATAGTACTTAGGGACAGCCGTGGTGTTGAACTTTTCAGGAGGAATTTCCTTAAGTGGTCCAGAATATCCTTTGGAAAAATATAGCAAGAATAAATAAATACAGAGTGTCTAGGAGTTACTGAACTCGACCTAACATTTTACCATGTTTAATTTTCCAAGTGGGGGTGAATTTATGAAGAATGCATCCTTTCTATGATCTCTCAGAAAAGAGTAGTCTGAAACTGTAAGACATTTTTAACCCCTTTACACTTACGGAATTTTCCAAAAGAAACCCACTTTTCTCAATGTTTATACCAAATCATACAGTTATTTCTTCTTTGATTATCTTAGTATGTATTTGTTCAGTGAAACTATTCATTTAATTTCGAAAAATTGTTTCCCTTGTGTTAATTTATAGTAAGCTTTAGATACCATAGTGAATGAATTAAGTTAAAAATATATGTTGAGTGTCTACTGTGGTCTAGGTGCTGGGGAAGGAGCAGTGAAGACAAAATCTCCCTCTTCTGGGGGCTGATTCGGTAGAGGTAATATTTAGGTCTTGTCTATCTTAAATTGCTGAGTGATCTGCAAACCATTAAAACTTCAAAATGGTGAAGTAACTTGTTTCCATTGCCTTAATCAGGCACCAGTCTTATTCCCTGGTGTGCCCATCCCATGTTTACTTTGTTCCTAAAGATTTCTTACCTAACTTTTCTGCTTCTAGTCTCACCTCCTCAACTTCTTCTGGGAACTGGAAATTTTTTGTAAGTGCCATTTAAAAATCACACAAATTTCTAGCATCAACTTTAAACTGTTTTCACAGGCATCAAGTGACATTCTTCAAGTATTCAAAAGCAGCTGTGTACTCTCCATCTACACCATTGTACTACCTCATTGTGTCCTTTGCATAATTCTCTTTTCCATGATGTCAAAACCCTTTACCATTTGATCACTCTTACTTTTAGGTTTTTCTGATGCTCTTTCTCTTCTCTAAAATGTTTTCTATTTTCTCCTGTCCAATCATGCCTATCCTTTCTTTACACTAGAGAGTTTATCTCGTCCAAAATATCTTGCTGATAATGCCACCTCTAGGCAGTTATTTGTTTGCAGTAATTTAATTTTCTTTTGATTGCCTCCAGTATCTCATGGTAGTCTCTTCTGATAGACTTCTTTTTTCTGCTTGCCACTTAGTTACTCAAAGCTCTTTTCTTATACTATACATTCTACCTAAAAAATTCCATTTGTATTCATGGTTTTAATTGTGACCTAAATATTGATGATTCTCTCTCTCTTTTTTAATCTCCAGGCACTTCTGTTCCACCACCCAGTATATTTGTCCAAATGAATATCCCCTGGCACCCTTAATAATCTGTCTGGACCTATATGTAGCCATTCTCTACTTGCTTCTTCTTTTATATTGGTTATCTTAGTGAATGCCAACACTACTCTCAGATGCCCAAGACAGAAGCATTAACCTAAACTTCCTCTCCTTCCCACAGCAAATCACTAAGTATTACCAGCTGTACTTCTTAAGGAATGCTAAAATAGCGGCTCTCAAACTTTGTTTCTGAGTCACTTTGGGCCAAATGTGTTCTTCCCTCCAGAGATTTGGCTTCAGTAAGTCTCAAATATGGCTTGCAAATCTTAGGCAAGAGATTTGCAAACAGAATATTGGGAAAACTTGCTCTGGAAAATTCCCTCTTTCTTCATCATTTCCATTACTACTGCCTTATTTCAGGCTTGACCACCTCTTGCCTGGGCTTTCACAATAGCCTCATACTCATCCTTTAGCCCCCAATCTCTCCCCCGGACCCTCCACACTGCTGCCCGAGTGACCTTTCTAAACTGGATCATGTCATTGACCTCCCTTTCCTAGGGTGCTATAATGGCTCCCCATGACAAAAACCTAGATTACTCAGCACAGCACACATGGCCCTACCCTCATCCAGCCTCGTCTCCTACCGTTCTCCTCTCACATTTTTATGCTCCAGAACTTGGAGCTACTTGACACTTGTTGTGTCCCCTTATGCTTGCTCCATTAGTTCCCTGTGCCTGGAATGCTCATTCTAATTCTTGTTACCTGGAAATTCTTATTTTAAGCCTTAGTTTGAGGTTACCTCTTCTATTTAGCCTTTCCTGTCTCCCCCAGGAAAGCAGAGTTACTTTTCTTGCTCTTTCCATTTGTATAGTATACATAACTCCATTATCATAACTAGCATTTTATTTCCCATTCCTTTCCTAAAAGTGATCAGATGTCAGCCATCTAGAAACTGGAAATTTTAGAATTTTATATTTTTAAAAATTCCTTGAAATCCCACTACCCTAATACAATTATTTTACCTTGATGTATTTTTTCTCAGTTTTTTCTCACCCATAAACATAATGATCACATAATTGTAATTCTAGTATACATTCTAGTATATTTGATTCCTAACCAACTTTGCTTGGAATGCTTTTCAATGTTTCTACGTCATGTTTATAATCACTTTAATAAGAGTTTCATAATAACCTACTACCTTAAAATATGATAAAGGGTCTAATCTTTTCACTTTTTTTTTACTATTCCTGGTTTTCCAATTTCTTTTTATAGATATAATTAACTAATAACTCTTTTCTGATATGCTGAATTATGTACAGGAAAGAATGTGCATATGTTTAAGCTCTCAGATATAATACATTTCAATAATGCTACATGATAACATTTCTTGTTTAATTTCAAAATAATGTCCTTAACGTAACTGATTTTAATTCAAAGGAACTTAATTCCTGCAATATTATGGCATCATAATACTCTTACTGATCCATGTTTGAAAAAAGTTAGCTTTTGGATACATAGCATGTTAACCAATAAAAATTTTTGCTAAATTAGGATAAGCTGAAGTTTGCTTTCTCAATTTGCTATACTTTTCAACTTATCAACCAAGAAGGAAGGATCTATTAGTATTGTTTCAGGACAAACTACTTATAACCTCCAAACTCCTCCTTTTCTTAGTCTATATTACACAGACATTTCCTAATATTTAATAATTGGATATTTAGATTTAAAGAACTGTATGAGTTTATACTTTTAAACATTGTCTTTATATATACATAAATATTTATGCATATGTGTATATATATTTATTAAGTAAATAAAATATGATATTAAATTATGTATGCAGAGAGGAATCGAGACAACAAATGTAACATGAACTTTTGTACTGTCTCCTTGTGTATGAATTCCTTGAGGGTAGAGATGAATTTTTTTTATTCCTTTTGCAGTGACATAGTTTACAATGCTGACCATATAATAAAAGTTCTAACATAGTGTTGAGAGTACCAGACTGAACCAACATAAACTTTTCTTTATGTCTTCTCTTCACTATTTGAAAAAACAAACAAAAAACACTCCAAATATTAGAAAGCAAGAAGTTGCCAAATAGTGGTTGGAGCTAAAAGAATACGTATGTATTCTATTCTGTTTTGGAAATAAAGTTGATAAGGAAAGAATTAACTTTAGCTAAGTACAGTAGTATCCCCTTTATCCTTGGTTTCGCTTTCTGTGGTTTCAGTTAAAGGCTAGTCCGAGCCTGTCCCGAAGGAGATGCTCCTCCTTCTGACGCATGGTCAGAGTCAATAGTAGCTTAATGCTACGTCATAGCGCCTACGTCCCTCGCCTCGCTTCATCTCACCACTCTGGCATTTCATCATCTCGCATCATCACAAGAAGGAAAGTAAGTACCATACAATAGGATATTTTGGAAAGAGAGAGAGAGAGAGAGACCACATTCACATAAGTTTTATTACAGAATATTTTTATAATTGTTCTATTTTATTGTTGTTAATCTCTTACTGTTCCTAGTTTATAAATTCAACTTTATCTTAAGTACGTATGTATGGAAAAAAACGTTGTATATATAGAATTCGATACTACCTGCAGTTTCAGGAAGCCACTGGGGTCTTGGGTGTATCCCCTGTGGATAAGGAGGACTACTGTACTTTATTATATGTTTGGGATTATACTTATCACACTTAATTCTCACAACCCTAGGCAGTGAGATTTGTTTTCCTTATTTAACTGATGAAAGCAATGGAGACTCAAAAAGAGTTACTTTCTTTCCCAACAAAGTAGTAAAATGGGCAGGGATGGACGGAGCCAGAAGGTTGAACCCAGGTCGGTCTGATTATCTGCTTTTCTGCCACAAAAAATGCTACTTGAAAGCTATTTGAGAACTTAATTATGATGCTTCACTTCAGAGTTCTATGCATTCTAAGTGTGTACTTGGTCTCCTTCAGCGATATTTTATTATGTCTGTCAATACTTTTTCTCATTGTGTTCAATAAGAATGTCCTAATAAATCTAAGCCCCTCAATGACTGACAGTTTATTTATTTTTAGGTAAGATTTAATATGATACAGTTGTTTTACTTACATATTTTCAAAAACTGTTGCTGTTTGAGAAGAATTCTAGAATTGCTTTTGCTAAATTTACTTTTTATTTTGCAAAAATATGACATAGATACTGCTAATTTCAAGATAAAAGTACTTGAACCTTTAAAAAATCTACTTTGTACATTACTCGAGGAAATACTCGAAGACACTTGCTGTCAATTATTTTGAAAAGGTATTGTCTAAATAGATAATCCTTGTGACAGATTTAATATTTCAAAATCTAACAGTATTTCTGAATAACATATACTGACTAGATAAGGATCTGTTTCTCTTTTAAGACAATAAACAAATATGCAATCATGAAGAATTGCATTTAAAGTCCTTTAAGGAAGCAGAGAATAATGATAGTAATCTCCACAAGGTCACTTTCATGAGGCATCTGTAAATTTGGTATCTGGATTGAATTCTTGATCAATCAATATGAATTTATAGCCATTTATGACCTCAGTTTCTTAATTTGTAAAAGGAAGATTACAATAAATCTATCAGAGTTATTTTGAAATTAAAGAAGACAAGATGTATCATAGCACTTCATAAATTGTAGTCCTATACAAACAGAATGTCAGTGTAATTACAAGTGACTCAATTTTTAATATAACAGGTGATTGCCAACAAATACAATGAACCATCTGAAAGAACGTAGTAAATGTTTTACATGACTCCTTAGATCTGAATCTTTATATTTATCTTGAACTTAACCACAAAATAGATACATAATGAGTAAAGCCGTGTCATTTAGATACCATTTACTAAAGCATCCAAATTACCTGGATCATATATTTAAGGGCACAGCAATTTCATTCTACTTATTTTACTTACTGTTTATTTCTTGTTTCTAAGGGAATAGTTACCTGGTGCAATGTTTTCTGGATTTGGGGGACTTCGTGGATCCGGAGTGTTGGGAGGGGTGAATGGGGCTTGCTGTGAGCCACCTTCCAAGTTGCTTCCATCCAGTTTCCCATTCTGCATGGCAATGTTGTGCTGTATGTGATCAAAAGTAAATTCTGCTGAAGACTCAAAAATTCTAGACACACTAATGGAGATACCATATGTGCAAAACTCCATTTGTATATTTAAAATTTAAGTACAGTGCCACTTCCTTGTTTCTTGGGGCCTCAATAATTTATATGTAATTGGTTCAGCTATTGAATGAGAACTTTTACTAATATTAACCTAAGATATGTTTTATGATAACACTCCAGTTACTAATAATTAATTGAACCTTACTATGTGCCAAGCAGTGTCTAGGGCTTTGTATCAATTATTTAATGTACTATTCACAAAGTCCCTATAAAGGTGAATCTATTTAATTTTTAAGTCTTTACTAATCTAACATTATAGAGCATACTGGCCAAACATTTGGCTTAGTCATTGTTACATTACTGTTTTTGTTTATAGTGTTTATATTTATTATATTCTTTAACTTGTCTTGTTTTAAAATTTAATCTGAAATTTGAATACCAGCTGTATATTAAAAAATATTAATATATGAAGCTGCATAGATTTGTAAAAGGAAGAATTTGGGATTTCTAGGGAATAAAATGCTTAAAAAAATGTTTGTCTTTTAAGTTTTAGGTGAATTTGTTTTACTATTATAATTTAAGATTTATTCTATGACATTAATATAGCACTTTTAAAAATTGGCATTTTAACAGAGAAAAAAGACATTGTAATAGGTGATGTCCTTAGAAGCGTGGCTAGGCCTTATCTCTTTAATAAAGAATTGTTTTAATTATATCTGAGAAATCTGTGTGTTTTACTTTATTTTTTTAAAGATTTTATTTATTTATTTGACACAGAGAAAGAGAGAGAGGAGAGAGCACAAGCAGGGGAAGCAAGCGGCAGGCAGAGGGAGAGGGAGAAGCAGGCTCCCCGCTGAGCAGGGAACCTGATGCGGGGCTCAATCCCAGGACCCTGGGATCATGACCTGAGCCGAAGGCAGATGCTTAACCGACTGAGCCACCCAGGCACCCCAAAATATGTGTTTTTTAGAAAGAAGCCAATCTATCTAAGAAGTACATAAAGTCAATCTTTTTTAACTTTAAAAAGAAAAATTTAGTGAGGAGCACAACAAATAAAAACCAGTTTTGACTTTTCTCTGTATGACATAAGCAGAAAATATTTTTAGATGCTTTTTCACTTCTGCATTTATTTATAAAGTGATATGGTGAAAAATAATTTTGCATTTAATATTTAAATAAAGTTTATCCTCATTTTCAGGCTTTACCCACCCACAGCCACTCTCTAGGTGCTTTTTACAAAAGTCACTTTATTCTCTGCAGCACCATGGGTAAAGCTGCTGTGGAAATGAATAGGACACATGTTAGCAATGGTGAGCTGGCTTGTGGAAAGGTGCAAAAAGGCATGAGAGGTAATGTTTGTTAGGTGAGCGCAGGGCTTGATTACTGGGCAGAGGAGTTTACATTTTATTCCATAGGCAATAAGGAACAATTTCTAAAGACTGGTGTAATGCTGTCCTTAGAAACATTGGTATTTAGCACTTGGAATATAACTATTATCTTAAGTATTAGACTTCTTTGACTAGATTAATATCTTTTTTCACTCTGAACCTACACCACCTCTTAAAACATTAATTATAAATAAAAAGCCAGTTGAGAGAAATATAGGAATATCATGCATTTAGAATTCTTTTTCTGAGTTCCTGAAATGCGTCCATGAAATGCATTTCACCTAAACTTACAAATCATTCTATCTATGGTAATTTAAGAATTATAATACTGACTTTCTTTGGAGACTTTTTCCTGGGGATTAGTGAACAGGACAATCAACTGTTTCTAGCTAGTCACTAGTATCAGGAGACACCCAGTATCTCTATTGTCATTGTTAAGTATACAAACAAAGCCTAATAATAGTTGGGTAGCAACTTACTTTAGTTATGACATAAGCCTTAAATTACAGAGTTCCATCATATGTGATTCCCTTCATGAAAAGTTGAAAAGATAAATGAAAATGTGTTTGTTTTTATTTAAGTTGACCCTAAACAAAATAAAACTAAAGCAGCATCTTATAGGTTATAAACATAGAAGTTATAAACATGTGGATAATGTCTATTACATGATTTCCGTTGAAATACCAATAGAAATAAGAGGATTTGTTTAAAAACCTGTTCTATAATTTGTGCCAAACACATAGAAGTTATTTTTTGCACAAAATAAATATATTTTGAGAATCTCAGTATATATAGTTTAGTCTTATCTCAGAATTACTTTTTATAGTATACTTCCCCTTTCCCCACTATTATTTAAGACTTCAAAGGATTTCAAAAAGTCCATAGTTAATAAATACATATGTAGTTTTTACTATAAAATGTGGATTATTTTCCTCAGTATCATTTTATAGTGATTTATAGAAGATAATTTTTAATTATCATGAATCATTCTTTTATTTTTCCTTATGCTCATTTTCTTCATCCATTTCATTTTTTGCCTATTAGTGTAAGAATTTCATCAGTTAGGGACACCTGTGTGGCTCAGTCAGTTAAGTGTCCCACTCTTGATCTCAGCCCAGGTCTTGCTCTCAGGATCATGAGTCAAGCCCTGCATTAAGCTCCACACTGGGCATGGAGCCTACTTAAAAAAAAAAAAAATTAAAAATTAAAAAAAAAAGAATTTGATCAATTCATGAACTAGGGCTTCAAAATTGGCTTGTGTAGCAAGCTGTGTATCTTCATTTCTTGTTAAGAAAGTACATTTCCTGTTATTATTTATGTCATAAGGTTTGTGTCGCTTGAATTTGCCAGTTTCTCAGCAGTGGAATAAGACCAAAACTGCCCTTAATTTTTTAATTTTTAAAATGATACTTAATATTTGGACAAATGGCATTAAATTACCAGGGAGTTTGTTTATAGTTTCATCTAATGATGTCCTAAACATTATAATAAAATAAGACTTGTATATAGAGTTAAATAATTATTTTGACAATATAGCTTGAGGGAAGCAATAAAAGTTCATTTCAGAAAATGTAGTCAATAAATTAGGAAAATGTGATATAAATCATAAAAGATGATTCAAGAAGTAGACGATAAGTAATAGTTGTTTTCTATCTTTCAATGTTATTTTGTTTCCACTTCACTACACAAAAGCTATATTTATTTATCTTTGAGCTCCCAGCATCATATCTAGAACACAGTAGGCATCCAATAAATATTTGCCAAAAGTATAAATAAATGAGTGGAAATAGATCTGAACCTAATATTGTTTTAAAAATTCCTATCGTATTAACAAGGCTTGCTCCAAGTTGCAATTTAGTGCCTTGATAAAGCAAATATATCATTATATAATGTGGCTCACTCTTTTCCTCAATGATTTATTATACAGGTCATTTTTAGAATTAAACACAGATCATTAAAGAAGGCACTTTAAAGAACATTTGAGTCCATTTTCTTATTTTCTAAATGAGCAAACAGGTCCAGGAAAGCAAAGACACTTTTAAATTGACTTCAAATTGTGGCTTGTGGAACAGCTGGAACGGAACCCTGGTCTTCTGGTTTCCAGCCCAGTTTCCTTTGATTACACCATGTTAAGTGTCAGTACCAAGAATTCTAGAATTCTGAGAGCTGGGTTTCAATCTTCTTTATTATAGTGTTGCTTAAGACAAATAATATACTTCCTTGAACACTACTTTCCTCATTTCTAAAGAAAGAATAGATTTCATCAGACTTCACAGTATGTTATGTAGCTCAGTGACATACTAGTTCATTGCATACATTATTATTGTTTATTGCTCTGTTACTTATCAACATTTATTTATTTCAATATGCCTGTTTTTGACTATTTTATTTATTTAGTGTTCAACTTTCTAGGAATATTGAAAAACTATCAAGGCATATTCTTACATTTTATGTATAATCAGAACATTTGGCCACAGGTTAGTGACAATAATCTGAGATACTGGTGATGAGGGAATATGTCGTGTTCATAAGGACATTTAAAAACTCATTGTCCCTTCCTCCAGAACTGTAGTTAAAGCATAGACTTAGAGATGTTAAGTGTAAGTTATGAAAACTGGATTTATTCATCTATTCAGATGTCTAGACTTGTAGTTGACTTCTCAAAGAATTTCCTTAAGCCACCTTATTTTATACTACTCCTTAAAGCTGTTGTCATTATTAAAAGAATATGATTTTGTAATTAGACTTCATCAGCTGGGATAGGGATTATTTTAGACTCACACTGTATTAGCTATAGACATTTTTTAATAACTAGATATTAGACATAATTATAGAGTACCATAACATTATATCTATCCATGACTTCAAGCAAAAAATCATCCTTCACAATGTCTAACTGAATTCATAGTTATAACTAAACTTTATCTATGGATGTTGAAGGAAGCTGATTAATGTGAAAAAGAAATTATTTCATTTAAATTGTCCCCCCATATTTATTGTTAACCAGAGAAACAGACATTTTGAATGACTAACATTTTTGTGTTTGTAGGTGTAGTTGTTGGTTCTATAATGTATTTTAGTAATTATGATAAAAGAGCTTAGTGAAACTAGTCTGTTTGTTGTAAAGAAGTGAGATGTCCATTCAAAACAACTTATTAGTGATGGAAGCTGGCAAATGTTTGGGTTCAAATTCACAAGTAAACTTACAGACTTCCCATAGCTGTAAGAAGAAACCCTCAGTAAATAAAACTGAAATTTATTGTAGTCTCCACCACCTCTTCAAATTTAGAACCAATGTTTCATTCCGTTTTGATTCTTCATGCCTGGTATTTTATTTTTAAAGGCAATTCCCCAAAGCTAGCTGTTTTCTACCATGAGCTTCTTCCTCGACAATCTCTCTGCACAACAGTTTAAAAGAACATAGTCTTAATGCAATATGTAAAATATGATGTAATTAACTTATTCATTTGTTTATTAACTTTGAGCTGAGGAAAACTTTTGTCTAAAGAATTTTGCCCACCTTGGTTTTGTTGTTAATAGGAATCAGACTTCCCTACACGATGTGGCGTAAATGCTTTGAGTGAGAGAAGCTCAACTACGTCTGTAGTTCTCAGGCATGTTTCAGTGCCAGGATGTATTCAGCCAATAAAATGCGTACACTTACTTTGTGGAGTGCTGTGTGCTTTGGAAGTGTTTCCATCCCAAACATTTAACTAGTAGAGATAAAACCATGGAAACTTTTAGTTCCACCAATCTCCACTCCCTCTCCCTCCTCTTAGCAGAGCATACCAGCTTTTCAGTGCCAAATTTACGGGGTTGCAATGTCCCTACAGAACTAAAAAGATACTCATAACATATATAATACTTCCTTTGTTTATTCATCTAAGCTATTTACTATCATAAAAAAAAATCTAACAGAATCAACAGAAAAAAATATGTTGAATGAATATGTAGAATACTTGTTTGGGAATCTAGTGATACATAGACACTTAGAAGTACTACCTGTTTATTTAGATACCACATAACCAAGTTATACCTACATTTATTTGTGCTTTAGTTTCATACTGGAAATTTTCAAATGTGTATTTATCAGATCTTCTTTGTCGCATCTTAAATAGTCTGGCGCCACGGTTACTGAGATGGGATAATTCTTCCAACATGATGTCTCTGGGGATGCTGACTTTTTTGCCCAGGTGCATGCCATCTACATCTGTAAAACAACATTCATGTGCATGAAAACCCCAAGGTAAGCATTTTTAAATGCTTTGCTAAATTCCATAATTTATTGCCTGCTATATGCTAGTGTAGTGGGTAAGACAGAGACAACTTACTCAGAGTTTGGCTTGAATACTAGCTCCCTTACTTTCTAAGGGAATGTATGATTATAGATATGTTACTTATTTTTCTAAGCCTGAGGCTCCTCATCTCTAAAGTTCAGATAATACCTACTGAATATGCTTGATATGAGGATTAAATAAAATGCTTCATAGAAATCACTTAGCTATGGTACCTGGCACATAGAAAGAGTGAATGAGGAGTGCCTGGGTGGCTCAGTCGTTGAGCATCTGCCTTCGGCTCAGGTCATGATCCCAGGGTCCTGAGATGGAGCCCCGCGTCGGGCTCCCTGCTCCTCGGGGGAGCCTGTTTCTCCCTCTCCCTCTCCCACTCCCCCTGCTTGTGTTCCCTCTCTCACTGTGTCTCTCTCTGTCAAATAAATAAATAAAATCTTTAAAAAAAAAAAAAGAAAGAGTGAATGAAAGTTAGCTAATAACACTATTAGTATAATTTAGTGTTTCCAAATTTAATGAGTTTTCAAACAGCACTGCTTATAGTTGTTTTAATAAGTTCTGTTTGGCACCCCACGTTTTTATGTGTTTGAGCTATCCCTGTTGCTTGAATGCCTACCCTTCCATCCATGCCACTCCATTTCCTTACCTCTGTCAAAATACCATTCATTCTGCAGCCACCACCAGGAGCCTAGTATGAAGTAGGCAGGTGGTAAGTACTGAATGGACAAATCCTTCCCGATTCAGCTTAATGCTATTTCTGTGAATCCCTTCACTAAATCTCTATTCATAATTATTCATGCTTTTTTCTTTCTTTTTCTTTTTTAAGGTTTTATTTATTTATTTAACAGAGAGAGAGAGAGAGAGAGAGAGAGCACAAGCAGGGGTAGTGGAAGAGGGAGAAGCAGGCTCTCTGCTCAGCAGGGAGCCTGATGAAGGACTTGATCCCAGGACCCTGGGACCATGACTGACCTGAGCTGAAGGCAGTTGCTAATTCAACTGAGCTACCCAGGTGCCCCTATTCATGCCTTTTTCATATCTCCATAGCAATGAACCACAATTACTTGATTCCATTTTACTTACTTAATGGTTTGTATTTTTTTGTTTTTGTTTTAGCCTTTGTGTCCCCCATTCTTACATAGAGGAGATGTCCAGTAAACGACTGTTATTTTCTATTTTTAGTACTGAGGGACTTTTTTTGAAGAGTTTTTTATTTATTTGACAGAGAGAGAGATAGCAAGAGCAGGAACACAAGCAGGGGGAGTGGGAGAGGGAGAAGCAGGCTTCCCGCTGAGCAGGGAGCCTGATGTGGGGCTCGATCCCAGGACCCTGGGATCATGACCTGAGCCGAAGGCAGACGCTTAACGACTGAGCCACCCAGGCGCCCCTGAAGGACTTTTTTAAAGTTGAAAATAGATGAAACTCTTCTATTTTCTCCTTTAATCAAGAATATATTTCTATGGAACCCACAGAATTCTCTTGCCATTGTAGACTGCTCGTAAATCACAGGAAGAAAAATTGGGCCATTAGAAAATAAATAATTCATTATTCTGATTGATTGGGGCAACATTCTTTGATGATGTGACAAATTAACCCTAATAATTAAGCTTTTGGGGGTGTTAGGGATGAAATAACAGAATTACTTGAATTTTCTCCTTATTTTGTTTTGGAAAAAAATCAATTTGTCCACATATTTTGATGTTACATGAAGAGAACTCCACTAATCATAAAAATTGCCTGCTCTTCTACTTCCACCTGACAGTGATGAGGTAGTACTATTCTTCCCTGGCTGAAGCAGTGTCAGACCAATATAGATGAAAAAGAAGGCTTAAGTAAGAGCAAGAGTCTTAGAACATAATCGGAAAATTTCCAAGCTCAAACAGAAAATCTTTTCATACCAGGAAACAGGAAGATCTCAAACCCAGTGGATAAAAAGGCAGATGCCAACATGAGATGACTGAGATATTAAAATTACACAACCAAGATTTCAAAGCAGCCACGATAAAAATGGCTGTTCAATGGATGGAGACAGTAGCAGAATAGAGGGCAGAATGGGAAAAAAAAATCTGTGAACTGGGAGACAGAATAATAGAAATCATCCAATAAGAAAAACTGAGGAAAAAATAAATTGAAAAAAGATGAAGAGAGCCTTAGGGATTAATGGGACTAGAACAAAAGATAGAGCATTTGTGTCACTTAAGTCCCAGGAGAGGAGAAGGAAGTGGAGCTGGAAAAGTACTCAAAGAAATAATGGTTGGGGTGCCTGGGTGGCTCAATCAGTGAAGCAGTCGTTAAGCATCTGCCTTCGGCTCAGGTCATGATCCTGGAGTCCCAGGATTGAGCCCCGCATCGGGCTTCCTGCTTGGTGGGGAGTCTGCTTCTCCCTCTGACCCTCCCCTCTCTCATGCTCTCTCTCTCTCACTCTCCCTCAAATAAATAAATAAAATCTTAAAAAAATAATAATGGTTAAAAACTCCCCGAATTAGGCAAGAAAGATAAATCTACAGATTCAAGAAGCTAAGAGTGTCTTATACAAGATAAATTTATAGAACTTCACAAGATATATTATAAACTTCTAAAAATTAAAGATGAAAAACCTTGAAAGCAGCCAGAGAAAAATGACAACTTACCTATAGGGAGGGAAAAAAAAATGAGAATGACAGTGAATTTATCACCAGAAACCATGAAAACCAGGAGAAAGTGGCACAAAGTTACTGAAAGAAAAAAACTGTCAACCCAGTGAAAATATCCTTTAGAAATGAGGCAGAATTTAAAACATCTTCAGATGCAGGGAAACTAGGAGAATTTGTTTCCTAGAGACCTATCCTAAAACAATGGTTCGGGCAGCTATAACAAAATACCAAAGACCAGTGGCTTCTAAACAACAGAAATTTATTTCTCACAGTTCTGGAGGCTGGAAGTCTGAGATCTAGGTGCCAGCATGGTTGGGGTTCTGGTGAAAGCCTCCTTCTGGGTTGCAGATTGCAGATTTCTTGCTGTGTTCTCACATGGTGGAAGGGACAAGATAGCGCTCTTGGACCTCTTTTGTAAGGGCATTAATCTCTTTCACGAGGACTCCACTGTCATGACCTAATCATCTCCAAAGATTCCATCTCTTAATACCATCACAGGGGCATTAGGATTTCAGTATATGAATTTGGTGGGGACACAAACATTCAGACCATAGCAAAAAGCTAAGGGAAGTCCTTTAAACAGGAGGGAAACAATAAAATATGGAGCAAAGAAAGAATACAGTGAGCAACAGGGTGGGTAAATACAATAAGCTTCCCTTCTCCTCTTGAGTTTTCTAAATTATGTTTGACGTTAGAAGCAAAAACTGTAACACTCTTTGATATAATTATAAATGTATATAGAAGAAATAGTTAAGACAATTATATTGCAAACAGAAGAGGATAAAGGGACATGAAGGTAAGTAAGTTTTCTATACTTCACTTGAATTGATAAAGTGATGACATCTATAGACTTTGATAAGTTATGCCTATGTAATGTGATTCTTTTTTTTTTTAAAGATTTTATTTATTTATTTGACAGAGAGAGAGAGAGAGAGACAGTGAGAGCGGGAACACAAGCAGGGGGAGTGGGAGAGGGAGAAGCAGGCCTCTCGCAAAGCAGGGAGCCCGATGCAGGGCTTGATCCCAGGACCCCGGGATCATGACCTGAGCCAAAGGCAGAGCCCAATGACTGAGCCACCCAGGCGCCCCGCATATGTAATGTAATTCTTAAAGCAACTCCCAAAAAAGCTATTACAGATGGACTTGAAATCACTATAGATAAATAGAAATGGAAATCTTAAAAACGAAAAAAAAAAAAGAAATCTTAAAAACGTTCAAGTAAACCGTAGAAAAATAGGAAAAAGAAAACAAATGAAAAACAGAGGCAACAAACAGAAAACAAAAAAATAAAATGATAGGGTTAAGCCCTAACACATCAAAAATCACATTAAATATGAGTGCTCTAAATGTACCAATTAAAAGACAAAGATTGCAGATTGGATTAAAAACCATGATCCAACTATATGCTGTGAGTTGGACAATAGAGGCAAGTTGAAAGTAACAGGATGGATGGCCACTTAGGTGGCTTAGTCGGTTAAGCATCTGACTCTTGATTTTGGCTCAGGTCATGATCTCAGGGCCATGAGATTGGGCCCTGTGTCAGGCTCTGTGCTCAGCGAGAGTCTGCTTGAGATCCTCTCTTGCCTTCTCCTTCTGCCCCTTCCCCCACTTGCACACATGCACTCTCTTTCTCTCTCTCTCAAATAAATAAATAAATCTTAAAAAAAAAAAAAGAAACTAACAGGATGGAAAAAGATATATCAAGCAAATATTAATCCATGGAGATCAGAAGTGGTCATATTAATATCAAATAAAGTGGATTTCAGAGCAAAGACAATTACCAGAGACAGAAAAAGCATTATATAACGATTAAAATACCAATCCACCAAGAAGATCTAGAAATTCTAAATGTGTATGCAACAAACAACAACAGCAACAACAAAAAGAATTAAAGGACAGAAAGGAGAAATAGACAAATCCACAGTTATAGTTGGAGACTTCAACATCCCTCTCTCAACAAAGGATAGAACAACAGACAGAAAATCAGCAAGGTTGTAAGAGGACTCAATAATACCATTTACCAGGAAGATCAAATTGACATTTATAGAATTAGATTCTGCTGAACAACAATAGAATGCACGTTCTTTTCAAGTGCCCGTGGAACATATGCCAAGGTAGACCATATCCGGGGCCATAAAATAAACCTTAACAAATTTAAAAGAGTTAAAATTGTGCAGAATATGATTTCTGTTTACAACGGAATCACATTAGAAATTAGTAACAGAAAGATAACAGGAAAATCTCTAAGCATTTGGAAACTAAACAACATATTTCTAAATAATCCCTGGGTCAAAGAGGAAGTCTCAAGGGAAATAAAAAAAAATCAT